CTTCCTTCCTTCCTTCCTTCCTTCCTTCCTTCCTTCCTTCCTTCCTTTATTTCCTTTTCTTTTTCTTTTTACAGATGGCTGTAATCTATTTAACCTTATCTTCTTCTTTTTCTTTACAGATGGCCATAATCTTTAACTTTATCTTCCAGTATTTCTTTAAAATTTTATCCATTCCTTTCATTGCCATCTTTGTAAACACAGAGTTCTTTTCATTTTTTTTTTTTTTGCATTCTAATATAACATGTAGTCTAATGGCAGAGACCTAAGGATGTGGACAATATCCTGTTCTCCGATTTGTAGAAAAATGATGATACTAGGCTACATTTTGACAGCTTAAGTGCTCTGCTACAAACCTTGAAATGAATCACACAGATGCTTTTGAAACAAACAAGAAACAACAACAACAAAAGTGGAGACTTATAAAGTATAAAGTCATTTCTTGGAAGCTATCTGAGCCTCTTGATTTGTAATTAGTTCAAAGGCTTCTTAAATCATGACACTTAGAATTGTTACAGGCTATGAAACAGTATCATAATCATATGAAATTTCTTCTTCCCATCTATCATGAAGTCAACTTTGTTCTCTTTTGGTTTTCCCTTGTACAAGATAGAAAATTGGTACTTCTTGCTTTCACTTTTCCTGTAAGTAATGGACTCTGAATTAAGAATAAGCTGGATTTTCACAACTGAATATTTTAGCCTTGCTTCACCTCAACATGGAACCAAGTAATAACAAACTTTTTACCACTGTTTTTTTTATTTTAACTTTTAGCATAATTATAATTTTCTATTTAATACTAAGTTATTTTTACAAATTATCACTTAATATAAACTCTCTTAACACAAAAATGATATTAAACATGGATACAGTTTCCCTTGCTATACAACCTTGTCCCAATTTTCATAGTCCATGAAACCACTATTTCATTGTTGAGATGAGGGAGCAACAAAGAACAAGGTAATTATCAGAAAAGTACAAACAATATTTTTGTTGGGAAAAATCACAGGCCACATATAATAGATGGGCTTTTATTCAGATATGTCATTAGATATCTAAATTTTGTATAAAAGAAGCGTTATGAAAGACTCATGGGGTGAAATTGAAAATAAACGGTTTTTCTTATATGAGTCATTTCTGAATGTTGAAACTCACATTGTGTGCAAGAATCCAATACTGAATTAAGAATTTTTAAGATAAAGCGTAACTGATTCATCCTGTTTAAAGCTTATGGGATACAGTAATGAGATAAAGTATAGAATTGTAATTTTCCTGAATTGTCTATCCTGTAGTACATGGATGATTATTCAATATCACTGAATAAATTTGAAACAGATAGTAATTATGTATTACTTTATGTATCATAAGTAAAAGCGTATGAACATCCATATATCATAAGTAAAAGCATATGAACATCCATATAAATCCACCTATATCTATTTACTATTTTTACATACACAATGAAATATCTATGAGAGGGTAAAGAAATATGTTTATATTAGTGCTTTTTGAAAGGAGAATTTTAAAGAATTTACTTACTTTGTTCTTACTTCTTTCATAGGTTCAACATTTCAAGCATAACTATCCTGCTATAATAATCAGAAACTACACATACTGTAATATATTATAAAATTATATATACTTTTAGTATGTACAAGCTGCATTTCCTTCATGAAAAAGACTAGCAATATATAAACAAATAATTCTTAATGTTACCACTATGACCCATATACACATAAAGTAAATTAAAATTACTTAAATATATGCATAAAATTAGCAGTTTTATATCAGTAGAATTTTTTGACAAAATTAAAGAGGAATAGGAAAAAACAAATATCTAATTTCTCAGTGAAAAAATTCATTATATATCAGTTTAGAAAAATAAAATATTTTTAAATATATTAAAATATAATGTTATATAATATTATATATATATATATATATTATATAATATATAATATAGTCTGCCCTGCAGACTATCAAAACAGTTGACCTAATGGCCAACTGTTGGGCAGAGTGAATGGAATTTTATGTAAGAAGTGGGAAATAGTAAGAACTGGAGAGGACAGGGTCTCCACAAGGAAAACAACAGAACAAGAAAATTTGAACACAGGGAACTTCCTAGAGACTCATACTCCAACCAAGGACTATTCATGGAGATAACCTAAAACCCCTGCACAGATGTAGCCCATGGCAGTTCAGTGTCCAAGTGGGTTACATAGTAATGGGAAGAGGGACTGCCTCTGACATAATCTGATTGGCCTGCTCGTTGATCACTTCCCCCTGAGGGGGGAGCAGCCTTACCAGGCCACAGTAGAGGACAATGCAGCCACTTTTGCTGAGAACTGATAGACTAAGATCAGAAAGGAGAGGAGAACCTCCCCTATCAGTGGACTTGAGGAGTGGCATGCATGCAGAAAGGTGAGGGAGGGTGGGATCAGGAGGGGAGGAGGGAGGGGCTTATGGGGGGATACAAAATGAATAAAGTGTAATTAATAAAAAATTAAAAAAAGAAAAATAAAATATTTTTAAATATATTAAAATACAATATTATATATTATATATTAATATAAAACATTTTAATTTTAATATAATATATAATATAAATATAATGCAAATATTAATAAATATATTAATATAAAATGTTTTTATTCATATTTGAATAATTATTATAAATATTAAATGTCTGATTTTACAAATTCAGTAAATTAGAAAATTTTTAAAACACTTACTTTGGGGAAACTGTTATAAACTTCCCTGTCTGTGTGAGACAGAAGTCAGCAGCATCTCTTCCAACAATTGTAGCTGTATACACTAAATTCTTCACACTTGGGTTTTTCACTAAAATCTATGTAGATGGAGAAAATGGAACAAGGAAGATGAAAGTTTATACAAATTCACCATTTCTTACTCTTAACAGAAAAGTCTAGACATTCTGCCCATGAAAATACTCAGCTTAATGTATGCTATTAACTGAAATGTGTAAGACTAGTGTTAGAATTTGCATGCACTTTGGACAGGGCCTTGCTACATATCCCAGGGTGGCTTGAAACACATTCTCTTCCACTGTCAGACTCCCAAGTGATGAAATGATAGGCATGACTTACCATGTCAAGTGTAAACTTGGTATTTAATAATAGTACCTTTATCAGCCTTTATGATTGATCAAATTGAAGAAGAGTCTTCTAATAATTGATATGATAATTCAAAGTCATGTGGTAGCTAAAGCCCAAAACTAGCAACTGTGATTTAATTTTTATTTAGGAGTAAAATTTTTGAAAGAGTTAAGCAAGACCAGTACTTAGTTTCCATAAAAGGATAATTTGTCAGATCAGTAAAGAGAGTTTCTCACAGAGTCTGAGTTTGAAGACATATACAAAATAGAAATGAATGTGTCCTGGTCTGAAAAGAGTTTAATTAGGTAGTAGCTGAAGTAGAAACATGACAGTATAAAGAAGGAAGAGAAGGAGGAAGTGGAGGTATAAAAGTCTGTAAATTGTTTTTGTTAAGATGGTCATTTTTACTATGTGAATCCTGCCGAGCCATGAGCATGGGAGATCTTTCCATCTTCTGATATCTTCTTCAAATTCTTTCTTCAGAGACTTGAAGATTTTTTTTTTTTCATACAAATCTTTGGCTTGCTTGGTTAGAGTTACACCAAGGTACTTTATGTCTTTTGTGGTTCTTCTGAAGGGTGTTGTTTCCCTAATTTTCTTTCTTAGCCAATTTGTCTTTTGTGTACAGGAGGTCTACTCATTTTTTTTGGGATTAATTTAGTATCCAGCCACATTGCTGAAGGAGTTTATCAGCTGTAGGAGTTTCCTGGTAGAAATGTTGGTGTCACTCATGTATAGTATTATATCATCTGCAAATAGTGATACTTTGACTTCTTCCTTTCTGATTTCAATCCCCTTGATCTCCCTTAGTTGTTTTATTATTCTAACAAGGACTTCAAGAACTATGTTGAAGAGATATGGAGAGAGTGAGCAGACTTTCCTTGTCCCTGGTTTCAGTGGGATTAAGTTAATTAATTAGTTAATTAGTTTGATTAATTATTCAGTTAGATGCTGGCTATAGGCTTGCTGTATATTGTCTTTACCATGTTTATGTGAGTGACTTGTACCCCTGATCTGTCCAGAACTTTAAACCTGAACAAGTGTTTGATTTTATCAAATGCTTTTTCAGCAACTATGGAGATGATCGTGTGGCTTTTCTCCTTCAGTTTGTTTATAAGGTGGATTACATTGATGGATTTCCATTTATTGAACTACCCCTGCATACCTGGGATAAAGCCTACTTGGTCATAATGGATGTTATCCCTTTTGTGTTCTTTGATTCTGTTTGTAGGTATTATGTTGAGTATTTTTGCATCTATGTACATAAAGGAGATTGACCGGAAATTCTCTTTCTTTGTTGGGTGTTTGTGAGGTTCAGGTATTAAGGTGCCTGTGGCTTCATAAAATGAGTTTGGTAGTGTCCCTTCTGTTTGTATTTTTTGGAATAGTTTGAAGATTGGTGTTAGCTCTTCTTTGAAAGTCTCATAGAATTCTGAGCTGAAACCATTTGGCACTGTTTTTGTTTTTTTTTTTATGGGAGTTTTTGATGACAGCTTTTATTTTATTAGGGGATGGAGGACTATTTAATTTATTTAGCAGGTCTTGATAAGTGGAATCAATCAATAAAATTGTCCATTACATTTAAATTTTCAAGTTTTGTGGCATATAGGCTTTTGAAGTTAGACCTAATGTTTCTTTGGATTTCCTCAGTGTTTGTTGCTATGTCCTCATTTATATTTCTGATTTTGATAACTTGGACAGTGTCTCTCTGCTTTTAGTTAGTTTTGCTAAGGATTTGTCTATCTTGTTGATTTTCTGAAAGAACCAACTCTTGGTTTTTTTGATTCTTTGAATTGTTCTCTTTGTTTCTAGCTTATTGATTTCAGCCCTAAGTTTGATTATTTCCAGCTGTCTACTCCTCTTGCTTCTTTTTTTTTCCCTAGGGCTTTCAAAGTGCACAGTAAAGTTGCTTGTATGAGATGCCTCAAATTTCTTTCTGACAGCACTTAGTGCTATGAACTTTCCTCTTAGCACTGCTTTCATTATGTCCCATAAGTTTGGGTATGTTGTGCCTTCATTTTCATTGAATTCTTTGAAGTCTTTAATTTCTTTTTTATTTCTTCCCTGACCCAGCTGTCATTGAATAGCAAGTTGTTCAGATTCCATATCTGTGTAGGCTTTTTGCTAGAATCATGGATAGCATAAAGAAGAAGGAAGAGAAGGAGAAAGTTGAGTAGGATAAAAGATATAAGAACAGAAGGAGGGGAAGAAGAAATAAGACAAAGAAGAGAAAGAAGAGGAAGGACAGGAATAATAATAAAACTACTACAGCTAATAATAATAATACAGTTACTTCTGTATTAGGGGTTAGGTTTCTTGATAAAATGTTAAAGTATATGCAAACAGAATGGAAATTCAGGAAAATAATGGAGAAACACAGAGTACGGAGTTGTATACTTGGAAGAGGAAACAGACTGAATTTTACAAAGACAACATGAAACTTTCAAATGCTAACTTTCCAGTAGGCAATCCTCAAACTATTCATCACAGTATAGTAAAAAGAGAATCAGAAATACAACTTGAGTCTTGTAACTCTTAGGTAAAAGATGAATCAATGATGAGAGTTTTAAATTAGCTACAAACCTAAAGAAAAAAATTAATGACAGTAAATTCAATTAGATATTCATCACTGGCCTCGAACTAAAAGAGAGATCTTTATCTCTCAGGTGAATTTGATGTAGAAAATTCAGTTAGCAGTCTCATATTCCAAACACATAATCTGAGGTTTGGTGTGCACTCTTCTATCTTCAGCTGTTTACAAATCTAGACCACAAAAAATAAAATAGAGCTAATTATTTCCTCTTTGATTAGTCTGAGATGGAAAAGACCAGGGTTTTTTCTTTCTTTGTTTCTTTTTATTTGTCTTTTTATTTAACACCTCTTCTTAGGAAGAACAGAGTTTTTATACTCACTTCTCTAAAAAGAGTAAGTTTTCTCACTATTGGCTAGCTGTCATAGTCTGAGTTGCTATGACAGTTGCTGGAGAAAAAAAGACATCAATTGTCTTGCCTACTTGTGCTTCCAGTTATGTACAATTTCTACTTTACAGGAAATACTGAATACAGAAATGTATAACTGCACAAGGTTTTAATAAGAGAAGAGGAGGAAGAGGAAGAAGGAGAGGATTAATAATAATATGGGTGAATATATAGACCTAAATAAATTAAAAAAAAAAAAACCTTTATCATCCTAAGTCTCAGGGAATCTTGAGGAAAAGGGGACATGAAAATGCAAAGACTTGGAGACATGGAGAAGAACTGTCAAATGTTATATTCTGGGTAACACACAGTCACTGAGATCATGAGCTGGTAGCAGCTGCCCTGCATGGAATCTGCTAAAAGAACAGAGGAGAGGCTCAAGAAACCCTACCTCTTACTGCTCAATTGTTCGCTACTCACTGATTCAGAGAAAAGAGAGTCATTTTCTTCAGTTGGTGACTCAATGAGGCTCCACTGGATATTTCCAATCCAGTTGTCACTAAGATGATCCCAGTTTAACTAAATTGGTCACAAAACTAAAGCAAAAGTCATCAATATGGGGGTCATTGATGGGGATGATGGGAAGTTGAGAGGGTTGGACAGAGATACAAGAGAGAGTGGAGAAAATATTAATCATAATATATTATATACCTGAAAATTATAAAAATATTTAATAAGTGTGTATTACAAAATAACAAAACAGGTGCAAATAGCACAGGACTCTAGGAAATCACAGTTATTTTTTCATCTGATGGTCTGATGGCCTTGTTATTCACACAATATATTTCATTACTTTGATTTCATTACAAGCCTGCTGAACTTATTCTCTGGTGTCAGTTTTATCTTCTGGGAAAAAATTCTAGGAGAGGCATCTCTAATCCTTGGCAATCTTTCCCAAGTATAAATATGGTTTTTCAAGTTCTATGCCAACAAATCAAGTATGTTAGGAAGAAGGATGATGGTTTTTCTCCTTGATTGAAATCTAATGTAGTCCTTTTGAGCTCAGCCTCATCTTTTTGAGCATGTTTTAAAGAACACAATTTTAGGAAGATTCCTACAAACTCACTATATCCAAACTCTTCTGCCTCTGAAGTCTGATCAGCCTTCATAACAGAACAAACTCCTTAACCTCTACTCTTTGTCAGATGTCCTCTTCTTTGCTAAAACCCTACTAAGATAAATTAACCAGTCTCTCTCTTTTTTTTAACATTGGTGTTTCCTCTTAGTAATTCTTAATACATTGACCATCCTGTGTTTCCTTGATTGCAAACTCTTATTTTTTTCCATTTATACTCAGAGTTACTCTCAAGTGCTTACAGTAAAAATACTATAATGAGTCTAGATTATCACTTTAACAAGTCCTGTATAAGTCTGCTTAATAATTTAAAGCAAGTGTTATAATATGTTTCTTTAATAATATGCAGGAATATTATGGAAAGTACAGACATAGAAGAGGTAAGAGAATTGTTAAAAGGTATTATTAACCATGTTAAAGTTGGGAAATGGTTACATCCAAGCAAAAGCCCAGGTATTTGAAGAGTGAAATGATAGTAGCATGTATATATAGTTCCAATAAATCAAAAAGAATATAGTAAAATTTGGAGAAAGAGAAAATTAACTATCATCTTAGCTCAATAAAAATTTTGATAACTATTAGAATACGTTTTCCTTAAGGATTTAGGCACACATGTTGTTCAACAACATATAGATAGCACTTATAACGTAACAAAGAGATTTTGGTGTTGTATTTTACA